TGTTATATTGATATATTGATCCCGTTTGTGCATGTGTCAAGGTTCTCCAGAAAGGTTTCCCTATCTGGTCACAGCGCTCATGAAAGCAACACGTGCTCATGGCTTATGAGAACAATGTTCCTGGTGCCACTGCTACCCTGATGTCTTTGGCTGCTGAGCAGCTGGGGGCTGAAGGTGGGGGAAAATGGGAGGGGATGCAGGCACGTTCCTTGTGGTGCAGCGCGCAGCACGGGCACAAGGCAGACGCACAGCCAGGTTAGAAGAAAGCAGCCAGCAGGTGATCAGCGCATTGGGAATTCCACCTTTGGGTTTTTGAGCGATGCGTGTTGCCAAGCACCCGACGAACCAGAAATGTCAATTCTCTTCTATCAGCAGCCAGCTTTTTCTTTTTTCTTTTCTTTCTTTCCTCACTCCAGTTTCTGTAGATATCTCAGACCTTCAGAACCGGTGCGATGCAAACACCGTTGCACAACCATGCAGTGGGGATGGCACCTAGCGTGGGGGTGAGGGTGGGGACGGGCAGCTTGCACACAGAGCTCAGGGGATGTCGTAACAGCGGTGCAGGGAGACATCTGCTCCTCGCCACAGTGCCTCCATTCCAGGCACTGCACAAGCACGAACAAGCCTGAGTGGAGGCTGCTCCTGTCTAAATCCCCGTGTCAAACTCACAGCCAAACGTCTGACCGCCCTGGGGCCTCCAGCAGGGCCTGTGCTGGACTCCCATTGACCCGCTCTAAACTGCCTCCTGCATGCATTCCTACATCTGGCCCCAGCAAAAACAAGCAGAAGGTGCTGGTCCCTGGCTGAGCAGGACTCCTACGCAACAGCGTGCAGGATCATATCCACACCATGTGCCCAGCCCTGTGCAAGGAAAGACGAGGTGGAGGGGCCTCACGGGGAAACGATGCAGTGTTGATTTGTGCGGCCAAAACTGGCGTCTGGCACCCACATTTTCCTTCATTTCAATCCTCGATGCACTCGGTCCGCCGGTCTTAGAGGGAGTTCTAGTTTTGCAGGAGGGGAGTTATTCTGAACATCCTTTAAATACCCTGTGGGTGGGAGTATTTCCAGTTTGGGCATGGTGCGTGTATTTGGGTAAATAAAATCAGCCTGCAAAGCCAACATTTGCATTGACAACCAATACAGCATGTGCCTGCGCCAGTGACTCACGCAGCTTGTCGTTTTGTGTTCAGTTCCTTAACGTATGGTTCCATTTATACCGCAACGTATTTATAACACAGATATTTTAATATCAAGGGACAAATATTTGTTAACGTGTGTTTGTGGAAGGAACGGAGCCCTGCGTTGGGTGACGTGCTGAGATCTGCAGAGCTTCAAAACGTTTTATGGCGTCGTATGCCGCCCACCTCCGCCTCCATCGGAGTGCCCAGTGAGCAGAACAGAAACCAGACAAAATGAATGGGAAAGCGGAGCCGGGGAGCTCAAATGCGCCCCAGGCTGCGCGTCAAGTCTGCGGCAAAACCAAGGCACTGCGGGTTTCTTATCCCTGCGGGATCCATGAGGCGAACTGCATTTCAAGTACATTCATGTAAATCCAAACCAGACCGCTGGGATGGCTTTAATTTACCAGAAAGCCGAACTCACTCCGTGTGGGAGTGCAAAGGCCGACCCGGGAGGCATAAGGGCCACATGCGGCCCTGCAAGGAGCTGGCAAAGGGCCCCCGGGGTGGCAGTAGCCCCAGGGCCAAGCCAGGCTCCGTGTCTCAGCCACACAGGCAATGAAGCATCCCGTGCCCTGGTGGCAATGCTGTCGTTCCCTACTGCTTTACCTAGTCCTCGAGCCCCTCAGTTCTGCAGACCTGGCCCTTCGCAGGGGCAAAGACAGACTCTGCAGCTGACAAAAAACTGTCACGTTTAAATCACTGAATTAATGTGACATCAAGTGACTCAGTGAGCGGGCACGGTGGCAGTGGGCTGACAGTTGGACTAGTTGATCTTAGAGGCCTCTTCCAACCTTAATAATTCCATGACTCTAAAAGAGAGCAGAGTGTAAACTCTGGGAAAGATTCAGTGATACCCAGGCTTGCAGCTTTGTTCCAAAGTGCTCCGACACATTGGTGCGTAGGTGGCACCCAACTGTAAATTATACTTTAACGTAATGTTCTGCAGTTACAGCCATGTGTAATGCCTGACACGGCCTTTGTTTGGGGTGTTGCACCAGTTCTTAGAGACCGCAGATATTGGCTGTGTTGGGAAGCACGCAACGGAGGAGGCTGTGGTCCTCAAAGTGAATTTGTGACGTGGCAATGGCTTGCAGACCCCTAAAAAGTTTCTTGCCCCATAAACTGATTATTTTAGCATCTCCTCGTACTGACTTCTTGCCTTGAAAGTTCAAGCAAGGCTTCAGGATGTCAGCCCATGCACTCCATTATTTTCCAGTGCCAGGCAGGGCTGATTAACACGTATAGCAGTCGCTTGCACTACTCTACCCTCATTAATTCCTAAACTCACCACGCAGGCAACAGTTATAAGCCGTAAGGACATGCAGAGTTATGCCTGGAATCTGCTTTAATTTGGAGGAGGTGTACACCACAGCCGTGCTGCCAACTCTAGCCATAAACCTGGTGGTCTATGGACTTGTTTGCTGTGCCCATCTGCCTGTGCTCCAGCTGCACCATCTGGCTGCCACCAGGGCCTTGGCACAGAGTAAGGCTGCCAGCTCCTTGGGAAGCTGCTGGCAATAAGCATTTAGAAGAAATGCTTTTCTTTCCGTAGTCCCTTTTGGGTGTTTGCCTAGCTGCCCTGGGAAAGAAAGTAGGAGGTAGTTTTATCAGGGCTGTACCAGTTTGTACATGAAGTGTGTGCATCCACTGAAAGCAGAATGTAGAACTGAAAGCAGCGTAGCATCGCAGGGCTGTTCCCTAAATCAGAAAGGCTAAGGTGGCAGCACTATTTTTGTTACACAAACATGGCCACATTGACTTCTCATTGTTTTAAAATAACAGATTCCCAAGGCTGGAGTCCAAATATAGTGAGGCTTCTATTAAGGAACATGCTGGGGTTAGAGCAAAAGTGAGTTTCCCAGCAGAGTGGCCTTTAGTTAAAGGTCAGGAAAAAAAAAAATCTAATTGGAAACCTTATTATTATAATTTAAAATATTCAGCATAGATGCCAGTTAAAGGAATATTTAGTGCAGCAATACCCTCAGCTCTCAGAGCCTGATTAGTTCAAAAGACTATCATAGAATCACCAAGGCTGGAAAAGACCTCTAAGATCATCCAAACCAACCGTGCACCTATCACCAAAAAAAAAAAGCCCCACCAATCAACCCAAAAGCTTTTCAGTTCAACCCCATTGGTTTATGTCAATCCCAGTCTTAAGCTACCCTACTTGGTAGCAAGTGTTTAAAATTAAATAGATAAGTCTCTTACTCTTCCCCAACCCGCATCAGAACTCTACCAACTTAGGTGAGTCCTCGGTGCTGCTTCTACTCCATCCAAATAAGTGCATTCCTTCCTTTTCTTGCTTTATTTGCCCTGCCAGAAGGTATCTTCTCTTAATTAGGGGAGGCGGCCTGTGAAAGTGTATTGGATCCACCTGGGACAAGCTGAAATACACATCCTCGCCTTCTCACTGCACTTGAATATTGCCTTGATATTCTGTTAACTGTTTGCCACTCTTCTCTGGCTGGGTAATTTAAAAGCCTTGAGTTTTGCTGCAAGTGATAACAGCTATGGAATTATCTCTTTCCTTCCCACTAGACTGTTCCTGGGTAGAAATAAAGGTTTCGGGGTGCCCATCTGTTCTTTAGTTACCTGTGCCATATATGTAGAACAAGACAACTCGGTGTATTCCCCCATCTCCACTGCTGTCTCGGGCAGAGGCTGGCAGCATGGAAGGCCTGCAGTGAGGCACGACACATCAATGCCATAGAACCACAGAATCCAACCACAAAGGTTGGAAAAGACCACTGAGATCCCAACCCTGACCCAGCCCTCAGTGCCACAGCTCTGAACACCTCCAGGGACGGTGAGTCCAGGGACACGGCCCCATCATTCCAGCCAGCAGCAGTTTGCCTATTTATTACGGCTTCTGTTGGTTTTCTGCTAGGATAGCAATAAGGCAGGGAGCACACGTGCCCGTGTGTTTAATAGAAATGATAATCTGCAGAAGCGCTGTCTGCTGGGTTCTCGTGGAGATGGTACTGGCACCAACCTCTTGGGAAATTTCTGAGGAGAAGTTGTTTTGCTTTTCTTTTCTTCTTTACGTTATATGGAGGTTTTCTATTCATCACAAAGATTTATTGATTTTTCTAGGCTTACGGGATAATTAAATATACAAAGGCTTGGCAGCTGCAGCAGAGCATATTCTTTCAGAAACGCTATGTTAAATCTGAGCAATTCCACTCTCAGTACTGTGTGGGGTCATAAATAAGTTCAGTGCAGTGGATATAAATATACATGACACCACTTAAAAATCAAGCGTAGGACTGGCCTGTAGCTGCGGGACTTGGGCCTCACGTACCCATTGCTATTAATGTTAGTGACTCCCCAGCACACTTCCATTACAGTCATCGTTTTACAGCTGAATAAAATCATTTCTGTTTGTCATTCATGGGTTTTTAGTCTCGTGAGGACCTACGGGCCAGAAATATATGGAAATACATCACTTGTGAGCATCCTTATGTTTTATGGAAAGCAAATCCTTGCCAGCACTCCCCTCCCGATGCTAACTGTCCAGCTATGAAACAGGTGGCTATCTGCCCTCCAAGGGAGATTTTATTGCTAAAATAAAGTAAAAATTGTTTTAAAACAAAGAACACACATCTTTATAGTAAAACTCAAGTTTGTTTTACAGTTAGAGAAAAGAGTCACATGGTCCCCCAAAAAACCCCAAGTTTTATATATATATATATATATTGAAAATATATTTAAAAACATAAAAAACTCTATAGTTAAACATATATTAATCAGTACACTTAAATATAGCTTAATTATATTTACAATATGACGCGGTTGCTTTTAAATTTTAATGCCAATTTCAGTGTTTGTTTTTTTCCTCCAAAAAACATAAAATTATATAAATATACAATAAATATTTATGTTACACAAGGTGAATAGTAGAGAACAAGGCCACAGACATGAACTTACATTTGCAAGTCTTTACTTAACACAGCACTAGGCCTGCTGACATGCATGATATACCTCTGTCACAAACAGACCACAGCAAGATTTCAATTAAGTGACATGAAGGAAAACCAAGCCCCCCCCACCAACTCTGTGAACTGAACCGAGCCTGCCATCACGTCTGCATTGGGTCAAGCAATGAGAGCCACAGGAGCACAGCTTAACTACCAGTTTTCATGTTATACACATGTCGAAAGCAACAGCTGACATACATATGATGGGAATCCGCTCTGGGAGCAGCTGCAGGACATGGTTCCTCCCTGCGTTCTCAGTGCTGTCCCTTAGTTCTCCCCACAGCAAGGGCTGCTCCTCTGGCCGCGCTCAGCAGCACACGAGCAGAAGGGATGGGAGGAGAAACCCCATCAGGTGGCTCTGCTGGAAAAGCTGCTGAAGAGCAAAAGCCACCTGTCTGTGCTGTAACACAACAGCTGTAGTCCCTGCTCCTAAAGGTAATATAAAGTGGGTTTTCTCCATTTCTATTAACGCAGGGGTTACATTTTTGAGTTGCTTTAAATACAAAGCTGGCAAGTCCTACTCATTTCAATTACTCGGAGCTAACAGCAGCGCTCGGACCTGCCATCCAACTGTTCTCACTGTGACAAGTGCAGCTGTGACCATCCCAGGTCAGAACGACTGAACTGAAGCTGTACCCATAATTAACTGGGAGAGATGAGGAGCTTTATTTCTAGCATAGTTTATGCACTAACACTTCTTTTGGAAATTCAGTTTGTTTGACCAGGGAATTATTTTGTTTTGATACCTTAGATTACCACTGTGTCCTAGCTACCATTTTTTTCCCATGCTCTAGATGATGCTGCTCACTCATTACTGCCACCAAACACACTTGTGAGTTGGGCTACTGCTGCCCCATCTCCCTGCAGCAGTTTAGAAACACGGCTGAGAACAACAGCACCCAAGAGATGTTCAGGTTACTAAATGCCACGGATTATAATATGCATAAACATCCTGGCTACAGAAAAAATAATTTTTTCCCTCACCACAAGCGTCCAGCTTGCATAAGGAACAGCCAAAGCTTGGGACATTTCAGTAAGATTTCCTTAGTTTCTGGTTTTTAGGTGGGAATGCCTCAAGTTTGAAGCTCAAGTCGGTCACATAATGTTCTCTTCTTGTTCACAGCCCGGAAACGTGCAGCCAATACAAAATATGAAATTATTTTTACAGTGAGGATGACTCCACTTTGACATTCCTAGCAAAGGGAAGCCCTTTTACCCTAAGAAGAAACCACTTACTCTGAAGGCATCTATGCCAGCTCACAGAAGTTAGCAGACAGGGTTTCTACTAGGAACGGTATCAATTCTGCGTGAAATATATTCTTCACAGGGGATGATATTTCGAATCAGCTGTGCCCAGCTTTTAATTAATTTTCACTATGCAGATTTCTCAATAGTTACGTCTTCCAGCATTCCCCTCTTTGCTCCAGCTACTTTGCCTAGAGGATTTGCAAATACAGCATCTCTCTTTATTGAGCTCACTAATGAGCTATGTCTGCCTCTCCACCCACAGTATCCAGATGAAGCGCTACGCCCAGCTCTGAAGCTTACAACCTGCCTTTTTGGAACTACTTCTGTCTAGCTCATTAGAGCGGCAGCACAGGGCCTAGTAAGCAGGTCAGAACCTAAGCAGATGTTAAGCCAGCTACTCCAGCCCTTGCTCTTCACTTCCTTTTAACGCCAGTTCTTGTTTCGCGCAGGCTGACAGTAGCAGACATGCACATTAAGCGTTGGCTGCCTCCACCCCTGGCTCTCACACTGGAGCACAAAGGCTGTGTGCACCACGTGTGCAGGGCACAGCTTCCCCTCCATGGAGGAGATGCACAGGACCAAGTTCAGTCCCAACTACAATCCGGACAGCCTCAGTCAAACCTTCCTCTGAACTGACCGAGCTCTCCAGTGCTGCTGACCTCCGATTCACTGGGGAGGGTTTCAGACCCTATTGCATTGACACCACTGCCAGGCTTCACTATGATGTCAGATCCAAGCACAGTCATATTACACTGTTATCACCGCTCTCAATGCTCCATAGAGCATTTTCTACGTGACAAGCTCCAGCTGTATGCAGAGTGAAACATTCTGAAGCTCACAGCCAACCTTCTTGGAGAGAGAAAAGGGGAGGGGACCCCAAACACAATCAAATATGGTGTAAAGAAAGGCAAGTCTCAAAAGACAATGACTTACTAAAAAAATAACCCAGCAAAGCATGTTGACAGACAGTTAACTGAGTGCTGCCTTGAAGCCTGAAGTTCAACAATGTGAAGTGGAACATCACCATTCTTTTTCAGTTGCCTCTTTTTATTTATTTATTTTTATCAGTAGTAGTCGGATTGCTATTGCAAACACCTTCACAACATACAAGAAACAAATTTGTCTTTAATCCAGAATAAGGTAATGTGGTTTTCCTTGTTGTTGTTGTTCTTCTTCCCAAATCTGATGGGAATTCAAAAATAAGAGAAACAGTAAAACTATGACAACAGCACCTTGACATTGTTTTAATTCCAACGCTATCAGAAGGTAAAAGCAGTAAACATATAGTACTAACAGGAATAAAGATACTTACTGTCTAAAATGTAAACGGAATGTTTTGGTTCAATTTATTTTTCTGAAAGAGGACAGTTTATCATCAATTCACAATTGAAGCAGCATGCAATTTTAATTTTTTTTTTTTTTTAAATCTTTTTCTGTTTTCAATTCTTGGCAACGGCGACAAACCACAACGTTATCGAGGAATGTAATGCAGACTTTTTAGTTTGTTTGCTTTTTTTCTTTTTTTTTTTTTCTCCTCTTTTTTCCTTTTTTTTTTTTTGTTTTGTTTTTAATTTGTGCGCAAATGACTTTGACTTTTGTTCCCTTTCAGGTCATGGATACGTTCAATAAATAGATTGTGGAATCACTGTACTGTATAAACTTTCAGTTATACATGCAGTCCATAAAATTATTTTTTACTGAATAATTTACCCTGTTATGTATATATACAAATAGATAATTTCGTCTCAATATAATCTGTACAACATGAGCCCACTATCTTCCCCTTTTAATGGTCAATGTACATACACAGGAAGTGTCTATTCTTATAAACCGCCAGCCAACTCTCTTTTTGTTATCCATGGTGAGAGCTCTCACGTAAGACTGGGTAGTTCGGCACTGCGAGTTCCAGTGCCTCTTGTCTATGCCCCTGCAGCCTTCCTTTGTGTACCCCTTGGGGTTGCATTTGGTCTCATAGAAGTATTGCTTCAGTTGGCCTTTCGGTACCGGGACTTTCTCAAGGACTGTGACGGTCGCACCAGACATGTCCACTGCAGTCTTTTTCTCCGCCGCCGTTACCCACTCGCTCGTGCTGTCGCAGACGCTCAGTTCCCCACGGCGAGCTGGGTCCGAGTGACGCCGGACTCTCATGGACATGTTTGCAGCATCCAGGTAGTTTTTGTACTCCTCAAGCAGAAAAAGCAGCGGGGGTTCCAAAGGCACTTGGCTGCTCAGCATGACTCGGGATGTGTACAAGTCCGCATCCTTGTTTTCCTCGCTGGGCTGGATGTCCTGATCCTCATCTAGAAGCTCCTCTATCACGTGCTCAAAAGTGTCCGCCAGCGACGTCAGTCCTCTTGAACCAGCGTTGGGCCCATTTAGGCTTTCAAGTGTCCCGTGGGTCCGAAGACCTGGGTAAGCCAAGCTGCCTTGTCCTCTTACACTAGCTTCTTTCATCGGGGCAGCTTTCATGCAACTGAAGTATGAGATAACCATAGTAAGGAAAAGGATGGTCATCACTCTTCTAACTTGGTGGAACTGTTAAGGACAAAAACAAGAAGGAAATTAACCTCAGAGGAACAAAGCTATCAAAATTCACCTAAACTGTCACAAGACATCATGCTTTTCCTGCAGAGATACACTGCATGCATGCAGCTGCAACTCAATACCAGTGGAGGAGCATACTCTGGTACAAAGGTGTTTCTTCAATTTAGATTTCCAGATAAATCATAAGCGAAAACTTGGGCAACACTGATAACAGTGAGTCAGTTCATATGTGCCAATGTCTTGCTGTGATAAGTACTAGATCAGATACTACACAAATTCCTTATTTACTGAACTATTACACCTATTTCAAGTAACAACAAGAGCAGAACTGCTATTTAGCAACATAGCGTTTCAGCATTAAAAGGCAGCTTCACAAGTGTGGAAGGCAAGGAAGCGGAAAGCCAAATATTTGATTATTTTTTTTTTTTTTTAATATTATTTATTTAAAGATCTCCCTATGCCAAAAATAGTCAAATCCAAAAGAAACAGAACGGCACCAGGATAAATTGCATCTGTATTTTAAAAGCAATCCTCAAAGCACAGGAAGAGGCCATGCACCTCAGAGGTCTCACCAGGTCAATCCCTCAACTAGAAGTAGAAGGTACGTATACAAATATAGAACAAGAAAATGATGCAGGACTGTGCGCTTGTAACCCTACTAAATTGGAGCTGGAAAGATTGCTTGCATCATGTGAGTGCCAGGGGAAGGACATACTGGATTACAGCACTGATAAAGTGCTCGCTGTACCGAAAGGACAGCGCCAGGATCGCTGTGCTGCGTTTCCCCAGAGCCCCACAGCAGCTAATTTCAAGTGGGCAAAGCACACGTTTTAAGCCTAGGGCTCCCCATGCAAACTAACAGCATGGCCAGGCCACACCACACTGCCATACCTGAACAAAGAACAGCTTGCCTTGTTTCTCGCACATTCTGCCTCCAGTTCTGGATCACGTTAGGGGCCATGCCTTCAGGCTTATCAGTTGGCTTGGCTCTTTCCTCATTGAGCACACAGGGACAGCACCAGCTAACAGCGTCGGCAAGAAAACTCCTCACCAGCTTTGGGATTAGCAAAACTCATTCCTACCAGCACTCCAAACAGTTTGGGCTTGCACAACTGCAGCTACTCACGTGTTTTGCTAAGCCTCCATGTGTTTCTCAGGGTAGAAATTGTTTCTTCCTGAAGAACAGAGTGCGTAGGTAGGATACGATCACAACGAGAGCCCCCCAAATCCTGCTGTGACACAGAGCTATACTTAGTCTGATCCCAAGTGCTACTACAACATCTATCATGTGTCCAGTTGTTGTATTTCCCTCCTATCTGCTCTCTCACCAGTTCTGCTTGCTAGAAAGCAATGGCATTGTTCACATTTTTGAAGCAGCAGCTAATGCTTATTTCGTAGCTTTTGAAGTTCACTCGGAAGTACCTCATACTTGGCAGCACTCACTGGAGTAAATGCTATTTCTGTTTGCCAACAGGGCACTATGTAAAAAGCCTTACTTCATCTCCTGCAAATATGCTATGGGAAACTAGTACTCATAAGACTCCAATGTGGAAAGACAATCAATCACAAAACGCACAAAGAAAATGAAATATGTACTAGAAAGGCAGTGCCTGACACGTGGGTCTCAAAGTCTACTTAATGAAGTGCTGGGGGGTGCAGGGAATGAAAACCAACATTTTTTGTGCCCATGCCCTCCCCTCAGCTACTAAGCCAAATTCTGGCTAAGAATCACCTCCTTTCCAGCACAACTTCACTTTCTTGCCTCCATCTCTTTTCCTGTTTAAAAGTGTTACTGTGGCACAGATTTATTAAGATTAAACAAACCTGACATCTGTGACTCACAGGAACACAGTGTTTGCTCTAACCATGCAGAACATTAATATTTCGCATATTTTTCATCCTGGGATTTTAAAAACACATTTTACAGGGAGCAGTATCAGATTTCCTCCTCAAAGGGAAGAAACAGACACTAGAGATGATTTACCACACAAGGAAAAAGGCTATCAGTCTTCCTTGGTCAAATGTGGAGAGGCATGACAGGAGGGAGACAGAGCGGTTTAGCTAGCATAAAAGGACAGAGCCAGTGGGAACAAGAATCATACATTCCCTCTTCTGAGAATTCTCAGAATTCTTTCATGTGAAAGGAAAATCAAAAGCCGTTTTGCGTCCTCTGACCACCAGAGCACTGAACATAACACAGAGCAGGCGGCTCCTAATCAAGGCGTCATTATTTTTATTAGAGTGGTGCCCAAAGGTCCCAGCCAATATCTGGACTCTAGTGGACGGATTCTGTCTGAGCACACAGCAGCCAGAGGGCCGCCCAACATGACAGCAGCAGGACACAACACAGGCGGGACCGAGGCAAGCACAGAACAAACAGGAGCTTGCATCCATCAGTGAAGCTTGACCGTTGGAGGCTGAGGATTTGCTAAGTGAAGCCAAGGATACAGTGATTCCTGGAACAGGACACATCCTTCCCTATTATCACTGAACTGTTTATATATGATAGCAATGAACTTGATAGGATCCAGAGTGACTACAATAGCAGAACTTCATTTGAGAGGAAAACTTAAGAGGAAGACAATATATGAGAAGCAGAGAGGTGCAGAGAAGCTCCGTCAGGAAGCTCAGTGTCCTCCAACTTGCTGGCTGGCCACCAGATCTAAGGTGTGGGGGGCAGAATGGCGAGGCCGGACTCTTTTCAGTGGTGAGTGGAGACAGGACAAGGGGAAACGGCCGGAAACTGCAGCATAGGAAGTTCCGCACAAACGTGCGCAAGAACTTCTTTACAGCGAGGTGACGGAGCACTGGAACAGGCTGCCCAGGGAGGTGGTGGAGTCTCCTGCTCTGGAGATGTTCAAGACCTGCCTGGATGCCGACCTGTGCGACCTACTGTAGGGAACCTGCTTTGGCAGGGGGTTGGACTCGATGATCTCTGGAGGTCCCTTCCAACCCCTACAATTCTGTGATTCTGTGATCTCAGACATTAAATTAATCCTTTCTTAATTGGTTTTGCCCTCCATTTAGGAGGAAAACTGCTGTCAAGCTTGATCAATTTACATCCCATCTGATATCTGACCGTCCCTATGATAGGTACTATGAAAAAACACAACTAGTCTCTGAAAGCCAACAACTTTATGACAGACGTTATTCACAAGAAAATGTGACCACCTGAAAAGCCACCCCTTTCCCTCCCACTTATATCAATAGAGAAGTATGTCAAAGTATGGCTTAGCAGTGCAGACACGTGGAATACCATTAGCAAGCAAGCACACGGCTACATCTTTGTATAAGAGTTGCAGACTAAACTGAACAGCACAAGCAGGACATGAGAATATTCTCCTTTACCTTCACAACGACTAGAGCAATATACATGGTCCTCAGGTTTTCCACTCAAAATATTGAGCAAAATAATTAAACTTCTAGGAAGCATCTTCATTCTAAAGGCTATAATTTCTATGAGAAGTTGCTCAGAATCTGGTAGTTTAAGATACCACAGCAGATTAAAACAAACCTCATTTTGTGGATGGAAACAGCCTTTGAGCTACTGATGAACAGACTCACGGGTGTGCATGATTTCAGCTCTCACTTAGCAAGCAGGACTAATATCCCCGTGCAGCACTGGACACAAATTGGACAGCATCTTCCAGTCCTTTTTCTTCTACTCCCTACCTATCAAACGCTTGTTGTATTGCAAAGATTAAAGGTACTGGCTGTCTTGCTGCAATAGGTGCCTTACAAACTCCAAACACTGACAGATCACATACACCCCTCCAGTCACAAGGCAGGGACCACATCACCTGCGTGGAAGCGGAAAGGGCTTGGAACACAGGACAAATCCATACTTTCCCATTTTCCAAGCGTGCTCCTGCTGAACATCTATTTAAATAGGAGCATGCTAGCTGCCTTGAGACTCAGCGTTGAACAGCTTCCTCGGGTCACACAAGATGCCTGTCAGAAATGAGGCTTGAGACCAGTTCCTTAAATGCTATCCATTCTCGTGGCTGTGAGAGCATCCTTCCTCCTCTAATGCAGCAACAAAGCTGAAGCCATGAAAACAGGTCACCCACCACGGACCAGATCTCAGAAAGACATGACCTAGTTTGTACTTCAATAAAGTCCATACAATTACAGCTAGAATAAAGGCACATAATTGTGGCAGCAGTCCCCACTAATGGGAAGGAGGCTTGTTAAATGAAGGTCATGTCAATTACAGCTAGTTTACATATGCAGTCAATTACTTAGCTGCACTATTTACTTAGGTATTTAGCATTTAATGAGAATTCACCAGCTAATTGTTTCATTTCATTATTTTTAGTTATTTTAAGCAGAAATCTAATGGCTTAGGTTGTATTTCCAGCAGAGAGACCTGAAGAACAACCGTGAACATGAACTTGCCTTCCCGCATCCTGATGCGCCATGAAAGTTGAAATAACTTTCAGTAGTGAATAGATTCAGAATCCTTTCATCTCCAGAAAAGCAGCATGCAGTGGAAAGTCAAATTAGCAGCAAGATAATCATTTTCTGCCTTGCCATTTTCTAAGACCTTTATACAGAAGTTCAGTTTACTAAATAGCACCGAATGGCAAAGGCACGAGTTCCTGCTCCACGCATCATTACTGGAGTGTGTGAACAGATACCAGAATGGGATGCATGTCAGCACATGCTTTACAAAGATTTAATGCACTGAGAACAAACAGCATTAACCTTTAATACACGCATAACTGGCTGTCTGACGCACTATGGTTATCCTCACAGCTATTCGTGCCAACTATATAATTAATTTTTATTGCTGGAAATAAAGCACCCCCCACACACACCTCTCATGTATACATACATACATAGGCACGCCCTTGCCCAATTTGTATTCTTTAAGTCGCTGCTTCATGTCAGGAAGAACACAGACGCTTTTTTCCCCCCTCCCTCCTCGCAAACCAAAACCAACCCAACCCAACTTGTCCCATCGACCAGAGGTGGGAAAGAACCCAAAGAAAATAATACAGGATATTAATGCCACAACATAACACCCTTGATCCCTCATAGAGTTACACATCAGTTTCCTACAAACGTTCCTCATACCTTTCTGGGTGCTCAAACAATACAAAGGGCACACTTGCTGCAAAACTCTCAGAAGGAATTCAGCCGTTCTTAACATGAGCAGACTAGCCAGGCTCCTCGTTACAAGTGTGCCTGTAGTTCACTTGGCAAAGTACAGGCCTGAAGGAGTTCCCAGCAGGATTTCTGTCGGCCAGATCTTGGACCCAAGCTGCAAACACCAGGAAAGAGGCACAATAAATTCTGGCAGTGTGCACAGGCGAAGGAATAGCAGGCCAGGCTCACAGATGGTATCAGAGCTTTCACAGAGACAACACCCATAGAAGAGAACAGATGTGCACTATTTTTACACATTCACAATGGGAATTGCTGGGAGAGCCCATGGCACACACACCGCTTCTCCAGCTGTTTGTACAGCATCCTGCACAAGGGGCACCCCAACTGCACAGGCTTTGTGGTCATCCCTGTAAACAAACTCAGCTCCAAAAGGGACTGTGTGTTTGCCACATCAAGCTATACAGGGAAAGCCCTCTTCAAATAGCAGCTACCAGCAGGTTTATGCTCACCAGGAGTAGCATGGGTAGGGTAACATGCCATCCATACTCCTACTGCCATACCAGAAACACCAGACAGCAGAGACAAGACTTCCAAATCTGAGGCTATAGCATTAGCAAATTCCAGGTTGACAATTCACGCCGCTTTCCAAGCCCAAAATCAAGCTGTTTTAGAGAATTTGCTGTGATACGCTCATGCCATTTCTACGTTCATTCAGAAGGAACATTACAAGACTTAAGTGAACTTTAAGTTCACCTAGATATTATCATATAAAAAAAAAAATCTAAACCCACATAAAACAGCTAAACAAAAAGCCAACTACAAAACCATTCAATAGAATTATTACTCCCTGCCAAGATAATATCTAGATCCTCCGCAAAAGCAAATAATTACAGTTCTCCAAAATCATTCACTCCAATTTCCACTAGAGCTTTATACAATGCTAACCCAACCTGTGCATGAAAGAACATTAGGGCAGAGTCTCAGACCTCAGTGCAACATCTGTGGTTTGCCTCCCATTTTACTACAGCTCTTTAGTATGCAACACTGTGCTGAATCATCACAGGATAATGCTATTCTGCCAAGCACATGCATGCAGCTCCCACTGAAGTTGAGGATAATTGGCATTTGAAAGCAGGAGCAGAATGGAGCACACTGCAGGCAAACTAGCATGAGTTGGATCCTTTGTACTGTGACGTGTGTCCAGCAGCCCTCCAACGACCCAGAAGCTGCTGTACCAGTTAAGCTCGCATCTTACAAGCACCTAT